CTGGTCACGCAGAAGTGAAGAAACAGAAGTTGCAGACTTCGTGATATGTCTGAAAATCATCGAACTATTCAGGCGATGCCATCAGACGAGTGTATTTCGTTGTTTATGACTCTCCGCATCATGAAATTCATTCTTACAAACTAACAGTCGTATATTCTTCATCCAAATATCATCATTATTCCGAATGTATTGATTTATTCATATACTAATTCACCTACTGTATTTTGCTTAGACGCTTGGCCATCAACGTTAAAAGTCAACAGAAATCCTGACACTGTTTACGCCGTCTTAGAAATAATAAGTGATTCATTTTTGGATTTTCCTGATCAGACATGAAGAAGAAAAAGTACTAGAGTTAATCTTCCACACCGGCATTATATGAAAAAGAGCCTATTTGACATATAATGCGGCCCACAAGATTTTCAGAACTTTCTACACAGGCATGCAATCTTTCAAAAAGCTAATTACCCTATGAACCAAACTCTATAAAATGAACATGACCCATGCAGAAGACATTTTGAGTCTCTAGAACCGTTTTAAAGGTTATGTATACAAAATCGAATTCGTTATTTTCACTTGTGTGAAATAAGTTGTGGCTTTGAAGTTTCCAGTTTATGGTTGCACAAATTTCTCATGTATGATGTGATATTTCTGGGAGCGTAGTTCCAGGGATGAGTATAGTTCTGTAACTGGCGAATTACAACCAAATGATATATAGACGACTGTTACCTTTAACGGATGTCCTATAAGTAAGATAGTTACAATCCGGAATTTCCCGAACTTCAAAAATATCATCTTGATGGATATTGTTCTGTCTAAATGAAAATGGTAATTCTGTAAAACACGACATTCATTTTACAATTCAGCCTCCTAATTTGCCGTCAAGAATCACTTCAACCAGTAGGTTTCATGATTCTTTAACTGCTTCTAAAAGGACATATTGATTATACGCAAAACAGCGTGTATTTCTGAATGCGTTATACTTTACAATTTTCTCTACACCTTAAATTTAGATTTCCCGTGCAATAGGTGACTTCTTAACCAATTTTATCGAGAGTTAAACCGAAAATATGTTTTATTTGCAAAGATACACATTCAATTAATCTCCCACATTCTGGAACATCACTCTGCTTATTTATTTTTTCATTTTTTCATTTTTGATTACACCTTGATGCCACACCGTATTTTCAGTACAAGTATGGAGTTTTCAGCATGGTTATCGGTAGCCCAAATTTTGCAGGCCGACCATAGATATTGGGTGTGCGCCGGCAGAGGATCGAACCCCGGACCATGTACATGGTCGGTGAGAGTCCTAACCACCGTGCCACCGACGCACATGTCATGACTAAGTGTATTTCAAGTGGATACTATTTCAGAAATCACTGCTCGTTGTGTTAGTTTGATGGCTCACCGTTTGTGGTGCATGTCACAGCCGCCTAAGTCGGTGGAGATTCACAACCTCGTCTGAAGATATAATATCAAGTTTCTTGTCTCAATGTTACTCTCACTGCTGCCTTATTTAACACTGTGGCATGTTATACTGACAAAATTTGTAAGTAGTATATAGACATACATATAAATATGTACCTCATCTGCAAGAATATCGAATAGGGGAGAGAAGAAATGAACAATAGTTGTGAAATAAAGTGGAAAACTTGTAAAGTGGACAAAATTAACACAATACCGAAGGTATGTGCAAATTGTGATTCTAACATATATATGGTAGACGTAATTTGCCTATATCTGTACATCAAGTTAACAATTAAGGATTCTCCTGCTAAGTACTCTTGTGTTCTGTCGTCACGAGATTACCAGTTGAATGAAAGTACGTATCATCGAAAAACTCGTCACCCAGGTATATCTTCTCTGCACAGTTCATATGTCCCTCTTATGAATCGTCACCCAGTCAGAGAACACACTTGAGAAAATCGGACAAAATGTGGGATAACTGGACCATTTTCATCAGAGGAAACGAGAGCAGAAAGTGGGTAAACTGCAGCATCAATAACTTCTTTCAACCATGTTTCGTAACAGTTTCACATCTCACTTATTTCGATTCTGTCCACATTTCTTACGTTTCCGCTCATTTTTCCCAACTGCAGAAAGGTATCCATTTGATGCAACTAAATTTGTTCTCACCACGGTAAGAAAACTATGGTTTGCAAGTAGTTTTAACAAGCAGATCTAATTGACTTGTGCACTATAAACTAATCAGCTCTTGTCTCCCAGTGCAAAATAACTCGTAATAGGCCACAGTCAAGTCAATTCACCTCCAGTACAAGGATATTTAGCGTCCTTGTCGGACACTACCGATTCGGTTCACTTCACAATACAACTCTTCGTTACATTTAAGACAGCCTTATGGGTTCTGGTAGAATGCGTTGATTAGTCCCAAGAAAGCTTCTGGATAGTCAACTCAAAGGCAGGTATCATCACAAAACTTTTGCTTCAACGGATACTATAAATAATAAGATCTTAAACACTATATCATTCAAGATGACTCGCACTGGCTATCACCACAAGGTTTGATTATCGTGTAAGTCGGGATAATCAACGATGTACACCAGTCGGATGGAGAGATTGAAATTTTCTACAGATTAACTGCTATCTTTATCAGAGTTTATAAATACTCCTGAAGTTAAGCGAACCTCTAAAATAGGTTATCCTTGATTCAGATTAGAAACTGAACTTTGATTAGCAGATTAGAAAAAGTGTGATTAGCAGGAATAAAAACCCGAGAACATTGCACTAATCTCATAAACCCGTAATACATTCTATAACATACCGACGTTAAGTTACTAATGTATGGCATTTTATCTATGAATAGGAATTTAAGTGGCTCTAGTAAAACAAATTGTGATATCATGTGTACTGATCTTCAAACCTGGTCATAGATTACAAATGTCACAGTACACTTCAGGATATTCTAATCAATTGTTCTAAGAAAAAAAGGAAGGAACAAAGGTATATCTAAGTTTCTCGTTTATTAATTTGGCAATTTACACTTAACATTATAGTACCCGTCTAGTATTGGTCGATCAATTAGTGGTAACTATGAGATTCTAGCTGCCTACAAAGTCTAGGGACCTGAATCCACTGCTTTCTGCTCTCATATTTCCTCGTATCTTGGAAAAAATCACAGTACACAATGATCTTGTGTTACTGAATTTACTGAGCGAACCAAACAACTTTTCGAAAGATCTTGACCAATATTTAAGTCTAACATTCAGAATAGTTAATACTGAATCAGCAATTTGTCCATGTAACCCTCTCGCACAGAACATCGAACCGTAATAGGCTCATGTTTATGGTAAAAATGTTTGACTCCAGGATCTATGAACGCATATACTTGCTAAGATTCGAAACTGCGTCTCCTCAGGATTGAAAACAAACTTCCCTTAATCCTATTGTAAGCTACAATAGTTACTCAACTGGAATGAACTGAACTTGAGAACAGAGCTTTACACAAAAGTGTAGAAAAAAGTTAGTACACTTCATAAAGGCAGACAAAGGTAGAAAAATTAAAATAAATCGAAATATACGAGAGAAAAATAATTTTGATTGGACACTAGTCAGTAACTAGTGTAATGTGTGTAGTCCTATCTTTGGTGCAGACTGAATTCTACCAGTCAAGTTTGCAATGTGACCAACGTGCTAGATGGCTAGCAATCAAGGTGCACTTTGAGTTGCTGATATTGGAACATTGGAGAAAAAAAAGATTCTAATGAATCTAGGGGTAGGGCTTCCTCGCAAGTAGCGCACAACATTTAATAGTGAAAATGAAATAAACGAGCGAATAAGCTTGAACTAGACTGTCACCTAAACCACAATTGGCCATTGAAGTAAGGATTTTCCCAGACAGTCATGTGTTAAAATAAAGGTTAATAACATATAAAGTGAAATCGAATATGCCGTAGAAAATTATTCAAAATCAACAAAATAGACACCTTGTATACACACAGTGGAAATTCAATGATGAAAATATCACACTATGAATTAATTAGTTGGACCAGGTAACCACGTAAAGCCTGGTTCTCTATCGATTTTGTGCTCTATATCCACTAGATGTGCCATTATGAAACTTCTGATTGACCTAACTATTCCTTTTTCCACCACGTTGGAAAATTCTCGAGATGGCGATGATGGATCTCCCAAGTCTTCCTACCTTTGTAACTACCTGTAAAAGAACAGCCAAATTTATAAGCAGATGCTCAGTAGATTATCCTTCACCTGTATCGGAATTGTATGAGTGGTGAATAATAAAAATAGTGATGAGCACCACAATGTAACAGAAATTCAGTATTGACCATTCTAATAATTCAAGATACCACCTTATTTCCCTAACTCCATCAACAACACCATCAGCAAACTCAGTTGCCTAACGCCTAATTCTTTCCACGCATGAGCACAGCTGACCGAGCTTCCATAAAGACTTTGTGTTCGGAAAAGTTCAGTCAAGCCTTTCTTGGCATTCAACGCCCACTGTGAATAGTTTTCTTTCGCGGTAACACCTGACAATTGCTAACACAATCTTTGTTGGTGATGTTATGTTTATTATCATTATCACAGTGACATATAAGTGCATTTGTTATTGCTGGTATCGTGATTTCTTTGAAGAGAAACTAAGACAACAAAATCGTCTCACCATGAAAAAATGCCTATTTCCCCTCTATCTCTCTATAATAGTATACAGTTTACGTATACAGCCAAAATGGTTGACTACAAATCTCATAAAACACTTGCATATTTTCATCTTCTCATATCATCAAATGACCTGGTTTATTATAAGCAGAAGTGTAGGCCGGAAATTTGATAATATATAATATTGATAGATCAAGCGTTTAATATTTCACCAAATTATAGACTGATAACGTAATATCACAAATATGTATCTGGATAAACAACTACATTCAATTAAAACAACGAGGAACATAAACAAATTAGGAAGACCTGCTTCAAATTTGTCGAACGAGTGAAGAGCTTTACTCACAAAAAATCCAATGAGGAATGTAATTCTGGCCACAGGTTTGTGCTTGTTATCTTGGAAGTTAGTTGTCAAACTTCGAACACACCACAATCAGAAACGGTTAACAGTTAAGCGAAGACAAGTCGAACAAAATGTCGAAAAAATTAGACAAAGTCTGTCGAATTTGCCAACGTCAGTCACACACACAATTTGTAACGAAAGCTTGTCATATTTATCTGAGCAGATCAAGTTGGGAAGTTTAGAACCTGCTGATGTACTACATGCTTTTCAGCTCAAAGCGTTGGAGTTGTACGATAACGGAAATTCAGGTATTTGTGAATTCATTTTGGAGGCAGAAGAGAATGCTGTTAACATGATATCGTCATCGGACATCGATAAAGAATCACAGCTGTATGGGATTCCTATCAGCATGAAAGAGATTTTTACGTTGAGTGGTTATGATAGTACTTTGGGTGTTATTAAACGCTGTAATAAACCTATGAGCGATGACTGTGTTCTCGTGAAAGTACTCAAGAGTGTTGGTTCAATCCCCTTCGTAAATACTGTGACCAGTCAGCTATGTCTCACATTGGATAGCTTTCACTGTGTTTATCGTGAGGCAAAACATCCAATGAATTCGTCGAGAATGCCTGGTGGGAGTTCAACGGGGGAAGCTGTACTATTGGCGTTGAATGGTTCTCCAGTTGGTATTGGTAGTGATATTGCTGGTAGCATCCGTATCCCGTGCGCATTTAACGGGATTCATGGATAAACCATCGGATTTCCCCTCCTCTGAATGTCTCTATCACATTTTGTCTGCTCCTATGGGATCACTTACATTGTTTGTACAATCAAGCATCTTTACCATTGGATTTGACAAGAACATGCCGCGTGATCATGCAAAGAAATGATAACGTCTCTTAGTAGTCCCATCCAAACTCATCTTGTAGACACTGAACACAAAATCGAAGTTGATCCGCCTTTTAAAGTTATCTACGGTATTCCGACTGATTTCAATTTCACCTTATGAGGTTGCCTTTTGCATACATCACAATGCACATCTAGAAGTCTAACTTATGTGTTCGACAGAAATTCATCCAGACACTTTTCCTACCTTGATCATAATTACTTTAACTATCTTTGATTGTGGCACAAATTTTCTTAATTTTATCTTATATACATCTTATCTTTATATTTTTATGCGTATTACTTTTGAACTGTAATTCCACTTATCACATCAACTCGATTTCTTTTTTCTTCTGAAACATGAATATTTTCAGTAGCTTTTATTCTTCAAATATTACGCGTTTATATAACTGTAAAGCCAGATGGTGCGGTTATTGAAAGGAATATTTTTAGCCTTATAAACACATTTTATGCAAACAACTTTCAAAGTTAACTTGATTTGCTTTGCAAGTCCATGTCACTTCACACGTACTGTGAACAATGGGGTGACTCATAACGCAGAGGCTTTATGATGTTTATTGATCAGTTTGAAGCTACAAATAATAAATTAACTATGAATATTATTTTAGTAGTACATGAGACAAGAGTAATGATGATATTTGACAATCAGTTTAAGCTGCTAAAAATACTACGAGATTTCATCGCCAATCAACATCAATCAAAGAACCAGTGATACACAAGCAGCACTGGAAATCTGTTTCTCTCAGGTTTGAAAATCATCAGAAGAGCGCACCTGCAACTGCGCCAGTCACAGAACCCTGGACCTTCATCTAACGGCCAAAGCCTGTTAACCAATCAGCCACCGGGTTGTCTGATATCAATTCGTGACGACGCCTTCATTTAAATTGGTCGAAATTCTCACTAATCTAAAGTCAGAACAACGAGATTCGATTATAATACCACGCGAATTTTCATTAATTATTTTCATGTCATGATCACTAAGCCAAATGAAAATCAGAAATAGGATGTCTATATTTCATAGAATTTCCCACTTTGCTTATTCATTGTGTATCAGAACCTATAGTATTCATAATTTGTTAAAACCAGTCAATGGATGATGAACAGTTTGGTATATTCACTAAATTAACATATGATATGTGAATAACATAAATACACCTCAAATATAAACATATTTGCATCCATTATGCCTTTGTGAACGAATGTACCAATTTCAAAGGATCAGTTTGCCGTGGTTTGACTTGTTTCAGGTTTGAACACAGATTAATTTCAGTTGGGAAACTATTGGAAACCACAGAGTACTAGACAGCTGTCTCCTCCTAGTCTGGGTTCCATGAGCAGTACGCACTCGTCGGCATTCACGAATTGGTAGAAGTTAGAATTCGTAGGCATTTGAGTCGGGTCACAGTGGCTAAATGGCTTACAAGCTTGTCTTATAACTAGGAGGTTCTACGTTCAAAAACTGGTGTGTGTGTACTGCCGATGAGTCCCAAACCAGGACAAAATAGCTGTCCAGTACTCTGTGGTTTCCATCGGTTCTCTAACTGATATCAATCCATTGTGAAAGGTGTATGTACCACTGTTGAAAATATATTCCTTGGTTCAAACTCAGTCTGCATAAAGCAGTGCCATTTTAGGGCAAAAAGTATTTTAGTTCTTTATGTAACTTTCCTCGACTGTTTCTTCAATATTTGCAAAATGAAGAATTACAAACTATGCGTATTCTAAATTACAATACAATGACGTATACGCAATAACATTTTACCCTTCTTAAAATGCAGAGTGTCTTCCTGATCCTAGTTGATTTGTTTTTTCACCATTTATGGCCTTCTTCTTCTCCTTACTACAAAACATACTACACACTGAATATATATAATCATAAAATCGTCAATTCTAGTGCTTATTTTAGAGTAGAATACTATCTCATACCATCTGAAATATCTACCCCAGTAAATAACGCTGAAACGTTATATTTTATTCACCATAATGCAAGTAATCTGCACACCTGAGAAATAAATAATTGAATCTGTCTATCAAATTATGCGACTGTGTTTCGGCATATGCATATACATACAAGCACATTGGGATTGTGTGATACAATTAACGACATACGTATTCACCACCTAACCTAACCATAAACTACAACAGTTACCTAGATTCTAGAATAAACAGAATTCGAGTTTACAGATTTCTCTTGGTAGTCAATATATCAGCCTACATTATAAAATAAGTGCTTACTTAGTGTATCATTTGTTGAATAATATGTGTGTATATGCAATTTAGAAATGATTGTGAAGATGTGTAGCTTAAATAGATGATATTGAGGTGTGTGTTGTGTTCTCTGCGCTGGTTAGTCTAATTGCCAAGCTTTCATTGCCTTTCCAGACAAAATCTTCAGGACACACTACGTACTGAAGCCTACAGCCACGTTCTTCCCTGAATGTGACACACCAACGAAGTAATCTAGTTAGTATACACTACCGATTTGAAAATTTCAACAGGATAATCAATAAAATTATTGAATTGACTTATGAATAATCTTCTGCCACTTCCTATTTTGCATTTCCTAGTTAGTTAATTGTCTTCTTAAGTTCGGTCTATATTACAATGATAGATTTGTGGCCAAGTTAAACTTTAAGCACCACTAACTACCAATCAGAGAATGACCTTGAATGGCTCAGTGAGTTTCATCCACGTGAGTTGAAGGTGCTATGCCACTTGATTCGAGTCAAATGTCAGGGAAGGTAAGCTGATGATTCTAATATTTCATTGGAACATTTTTCGTCAGGTTCCACTTGTTCTTAACTCAGATTTTGTATATTTGTAGTTACTGGGTTTTAAAACAGCCTGTGACAGGTGTAGCAGGCGAAACAGAGAAAATAGTCTCCTATCAACAGTTCAGTGGTATCAGCACTGCAGAGATACAGCGTCATGAAAAGTGGAGAGAATTACTTCGTTATTAGAAGGGGAAGGTGTCATCGTGGCTTCATGCTTGTGTCTCTAGGGTTCATCATTAAACCTCCATCGTGAACCTGTTATTCTACCTCTTCAAATAACCTTTAGTATACTATACAGATAACAGTTTTACCTCCAGAATTTCGCTAGCCCTATAATCTAGAATTTTCGTACCAAAAAGTTGAGAAGTAAAGGAAAACGCACTATTAGCTTCTGACAGACCCATAACTGCAGCCAGGGAAATGGATAGCGCACACACGGCTTGTTGAGAGGCTGAGCACTCCAACGTCACTAATGCACTTTGTGATTGGTGGATTTTCCTTTGCGTAAACGTTGCGGCTAATACGTGTTGCACGCAACTGAGGCGGGCTTTGTAATAATAATGATAATAATAATCAGATGGTCATTACATTTTTCAGCTTAAGGGGACAAGTTACCATTTGTATAAATTTTACAGATGTGATATGCATTGGATCCATTAACAAAAAGAATATTACTGGGTAACTTAATCAAAGAGGTATAAAGTTTGAAGATATGAGAGTGAGTTGTGTAATATTTGCACTTTGCAGAAGAGAAACTGTGAAAGATAAATAGGAAGTTACATGATTCCTCAAATCTATCATGGAATATATGGTCGAATTCGGACACATTGCAGAATTTTCGAGGCAGACTTCGGGCGCATAGCAAAATGTTTGCTGCTGGCTTAGGGGCCTTGTCCCACGTTTGGCTGTGCGCCCGAAGAAAATACTAGCTGGGAATCTATAGAATCTCACCAATTCTACTATTGTTCCCTCCCTTGTTCACGTATTTACTGTGGCTAAGATAAGCAATTGTTCACCTGAGGTAAGATTAATTCACCTTATATGTATAAATCCTCAGATATTTTTCAATGAGGCTGAGGGTGGTCGAAGAAATACAACCTCGATCATTGAGTGGAAATATCATATCCAGTTTCTTCTGGAGGATCGACTGGTGATGAAAACTGCAAATTCAGTTTCAGTGCCACTATCATCTGAGGGAAACTGGTTCACATCTTGTGGATAGAACGATTATTGGATTTTATGTCGACTATGATGTAGCCATAAAAAATCTCCAACTGTGATTTTTCTCACTGAATTGTTATAAACTCTTCTTTTAATGTGAATATGTATAGTTTCATACTAAACTATTTTTAATTTGGCTGACTGTTGTTCTTTTGTAAATATATGCATTTATGCCGACTATCTGTATCTCTTTTATTTATCATTTCGAGGATATTGCATAGTTGACGAGAATGATAGACAACGTGGTAATACTTGTGTGAAATGCGTCAAATTCGTGAGCCGTTATTATTTTCTCAGTGCGCCACCAAGCCCCAGTTGCGCATAGTATTAGTATGCATTGGTGTTAAGAGGAAAATAGCCGTCGAACTTGTGTTCGTAGTGCAATAACGAAATATAACCTAGCAAACGTAGGTTCCATATGTACACGACTTGTATTGGTAGTCAAGGCACCTAAAGCACACTATGGCACGTATATTTTATTTATCACAGATGGTCTATTATTCTTATGTTGCGTATAACAGTACTGTATTGGAGGAAATCTTTAGGTAATAAAAAGATGACTACGTCACTCTTCTTGTGTTAGCACTTATTGTCAACAGGCTCTTACATCATCATATTGCCACTTAGGCTGTAACTTTTTACATAAGCCTCTGGTGCCTACGGTCTAATAGCGGAAGTAATTACTGGAAAGCAATAAATGTGCCTCATTACACCCATTTCAATTACATGTAATTGTGACTTTTTACGCACATTACGCATTCCAATTTGAGTTCACTTTTCACTTCGACAAACAATAAGTATTATTATTGTATGTATATATTGTAACCTTTTATTTCGACAAATACATTCA